TCAAGGAGTTCATTGCAGTCATGGATTGAGCCTGCAAGGCTTCAAAAGCATTCTCGCCAGAGAAGACTCCCCAGTGGAACTCTGCGGCAGCATTTTCTGAGCAACTAAGTGTTCCCTGCTTGGTGAGATGTTTAGTTTTTATATTAGCATGGTATTATAAATGTATGCTTATGTGAATAAAAAAAAACATATTTGAAAGACAAATCTTGTGTGCCCATCCTCACTGCAGAGTACCTCACAGACCATTGGCTGTGCTCTCCATACTAACCCCTCTTCCTTGTGCTGTACATAGTGAATTGGCTTAATTTCCCAGTAGTTTCATAGCTGCCCTTCATTAGAGTGAACACACAGACCACCTCATTATAGCTTTTCTGTATGTATATCTGTTCAGGTGTCCAGGACCAAGCCAAGCAGGACACAGTGCCTAGCTTAGCTCCGGTCACTTCCATGCTTCCATAGTTCTACACTACTGAACTGGTTCTGAGTCTTCTTTGGGGCACAGAGCAGGCAGGCAGAGGAGGAGCAGGTGCTGACTCCAGAAGCAGGAGGTAGACTTTCTGGGAAGCTAGGGGGTTTGCTTCTGTGTTGGTATTAATGAGTCCTGGCCTTCAGCTGCTTTTCCCTCCTAGAACCTTCTAATATAAGTTACTAGGAGCTGTGCCTAGTTAGAGAGGATCAGAGGATGGGATTATCACCTGTTGACCATTGACTGCAGTGTATTTAAGTCTACATGGTGTTACTAAAGAGGGGCATTCTTGGGGCTTTTGGTATCAGTGTTAAAAGGTCTGCATGTCGATCTGTCTCTGCGTCTGTATTCTCAACCTCCAGCCCCTTGCCTGAAGCTCGTGAACTGGGTTCTAGCGCACAGAGCACAGACATGGGGGCGCGGTGCGTGGCACTTCTGTTCTGTGAGGTGGGTCAGAAGGACTTCAGAGAAGAGGTCCAGAACCTGGAATTCACCCACCCTTTTCCAGGCCTCAGTTTTCCCATCTGTAAATTGGGTCCAATAGTTGTTGCCTCCCAAGGTAGAGGAAGGATCCAGTGTAGTGTGGGGGGACAGTGGGAGCTGTGAATGCTTGTCTACAGGAGAAGGAGCCTTGGCTGTCATGAAAGGGAGCCCCCATGTTTACACAGGGTAGAGGGATCCATGCATTCAGCCACTGGGGAGCAAAGGAGCACGTGCCTGAGCACTGACAAACCAGCAAGCAGCTGGCTGAACAATCTGGGAGGCAATCCTGGCTTTGCCCAAGCCCAAGACAGAGACAGAGGCAACCTGCAAAGCTGGGCTCCCAGGACAGCCAAAACCCTGGCCGAGATAGTGTTGGCAAGTGTGGGGACAGCTGGAGAGTCTGAGGGGCCTCCTCTACTAGGCAACTGGCTGAAGGGAGCCGGTCAGTAGTGATTTTGTGGGGGAGCATGTGGTGTCTTCGGGACAACATGGGACTTCCCCCTATTGCCAAAGCTCATACTGCTTTTGGATTCTCCAACCAGGCAAATCCTGTTTGCTCCCTCGAGGGACCTCAGAGCAGCTGTTCTGAGTGGGATCTAGGGAGGATCTGTGTGTTGGAGGACCTGGCCTGAGCTCCCAGAATTCTGGGGCACGCACTTGTGTGTGTGTGTGATGTGTTGGAGGCTTCAACCCAGGGTACGGTGCATGGGAAGCCATGCTGTAACACTGAGGTTCCCAGAGGGGACAGTTGAGGAGGCTGTAGTGGGGAGGCTGAAGGTTAGGTTTTCTGGTCTTCGGCAGAAGCAAGCCGCTGCCCTGACCCTGAGTGGAGAAGGTGGGTGTAGCTGCCTAGATTGGAGTTAAGTGAGAGGAGCTCATGGAGGATGTTGGCTGACTGTGGTAGGAGATTTGGTCCAGGAGGCCCTTCAGTGCACAGACCCCTTAAATGCCCTTTGCACTTTCAGCCGGGCCTCATTCAGGCCCTTTGCTAGCAGTGTCTATAAGTCACTCCTAGGACCTTTGAGACCATGCTCTTGCGTGGAGTGAGGAGCGGGTCCCTTGGAAGAGGGCCTCTAAAGACCCAACCAGGATCAGGCTGTAGGCTGGAGACATAGGGTGTGCGACCGTGGTCACCACAGCCACTGGTGGCGGTAGCAGGGGCATTGGCATCTCTGGGTGGAGGATACAGGGCATCTTGGTGTAGCTGAGCTAGGAGCAATGGCAGCTGTAATGTGTCCATCGGGCTGGGGCACAGCTGGACGAGTGCGAGGCTGCTCCCGGTCTCTCTTCCACAGGAGCGGGAGCAGATGCGGCCGTTTCGTTCCCTGGCACGGCTAAAGGGTTGTCATCCTTCCCAGACTGGGGAAAGGATCCAGGCCCGCCAAGCAGCCAGGACACCTGTCCCCGCCCCCTCCACGTGTGTGTGTGTGTGGGGGGGGGCGTGACCAGGACTCAGCCCTGGCCGCAGCCGGAGCGCTGCCTGCACCCCCAGGTGATCGCAGAGTGCGGGACTCAGGGGCAATGTCACAGAGCGACGTGCAGTCCCGGGTTTATGCGCCCGGTCACTGCAGGGACCGAAGGGGTGCGTGTGGTGGGAAAGGAGGGGAGGGCGAGAGTCGCCCCGCGGTTCTACAGTCTCTGATCTGGGGCAGCATCCGGGCAGCAGGGAGGCGGCGGCACGAGAGCACCCGCGCGCGACAGGTGCTGCGGGTGGGCAGCGGGGAGGGCGCCTAGCAGCCAGCTTCCCGCTCGACTCCCCCCCCCCCCCCCCCCCCCCCCCGCTGTACGTGGCTCTGACACTTTAGGATGAGAGCAGAGGGCTAATTTTATCCGACTGGGGCTCAGCAGGAAACCGACGCTAAGGTGCGGGTAGTTCTTCCGGGCGAACAGCCAGGGAGGCCTGGGGTGGGGAGCAGAAGGGGAGGGCGTGGGAGTCTCGGTCCCGGTGGGGGCGTGGTGGTCCCTGTCCTGTTCCCAAGAGGACCTAAGTTGGAGCCGAGGTTGGTATGCAACAGGTCACTTAGGCCCAGAGGAGGAAACGATATTTTGCGAGGAAGATAGTACAAATTCCTTGCATCTTAATCATTGTGTTCAATTCTGTTCCTTTCATACCTTAAGTTCTTGGGCTCTGCAGCGTGCCAGACACACAGCAGGTCCCTAGGAAACATTGCTGATACTGATATGACCAGAAAAACCAGGCGTGGAGTTGTGTGTCTGGTGACCACTAGAGAGAGCTGAAAGGCAAGCGTCTCAAGGCCTTTGAAATACAGCCTCTTCAGTTCTTAGGGGAAGTAGGTATCCGACCCCCTGCCCCCTCGTTTTGTTTTTCTGGGGTCTTTGCTACGTTTCAGTTTATTAGAGTTTCACAACTTGCTTCACAACTTGCTTCAAGCTTCTTGTTCTAAGTAGCACCCACCCTCTCCTGGTACCAGCTGTCAGAAGCTGGGGATTTCCCCAGAGTCAGCTGGCCTGCTCTGTTTCTGTGGAGAAGTGGTAGGGAGCTGCTGGCTGCCTTTTCAGACATGAAAAGGCCCTGGGGGAGAGCATATGCTCATAAAAAAATTATAGGATTCTACAGCTTTGAAATCTAATGATCCTTAGTGATCAAACACAGACTGAGCCCTGGGGGGTCTGGAGGAGGCACTGAGGGGGCAGAAGATCTTGGGTGAGAAAGCTTGGGGCCTGGCATCGGGACAGAGTAATTAGCCTTAGTGGGAGGAGGTGAGGAGGCCAGCAGCCCAAGGGCATCTGTACTGAGCAGGGAGAAGCAACAGCGCTGGGTGGTAAGGCCAAGCGCTGGGTGGTAAACCATCTTCTCTCAAAGGAAACCAATTCCTGCTCTTTGTTCCTGCTCTGTCCAGTATAGGGACAAAAGGAGCTAGATCCTCTTAGTACCTCTTGGGTTGTTGGGAGTGGAAGGACGTTTGGCTGCATAAAGGTGGCTGGGAGGGCGAGCCAATACTAGGGCTGTATGTTGGATGGGAGCAAGGATGATGCTGAAGGGATGGGGTATGCTGAAAGGGAAATTTTACTCAACTTTTAGTTTTGCTCTGAGCTAGTCTGTTGCCAGTGCTTTAGAAAGGAGCTTGTCACACAGCGAAGGAGGTAGGCATGCTCTCAGCTTTCTCTGTCCCTGATGAAGAACCCCTTTCCTAGCGCTAGGCCTCACTTTCCCAATTTAAAATCAAGGTAAAATGGAGGAAGACTAAGTTTGCTCTTAGCTTTACAATCTTGTCTCTCATCTGTCACTTTCCATTCCAGATGTTGTGACTGTGGCCTAGTGTAACTGAGCTACAGTAACCTCTTTAAGTACCTCTGCAATAAAATAAAGGGAGACAGATGGAGGTTCAGTGTATTTGCGGATTTACGGCCTTGCACTTTTCTATCGAGGTGGTGGCCCAGCCCTGACAGGACCTCCATTCCAACTCAGTAATTATGTTCTCGTTTTGTGAAGTAACCACTTTCCCCATTAAAGAGTACCATGAAACATTTCAACTGGAAACAGTTTTCTCCCAGCTTCTCTCTCCCACCGGTCAGCTTTCCCTGAGTGCAGAGAACCAGGCAGAAATACTGTTTGGAATGAGACTTCAATTGTGAAGCCAAATCTCCTGCTGTTAAGCAGGTTAAAACTATGACGCCCTTGTAGGCAGCATACGTACTCAAACCAAACGTTTAGATCTGTTTATTTTGTTCCAAACCCCTTGAGGATTTAAATGTCCCAGATCTCAAGCTCTGAAATTTTGTTCATTCTTTTAGTTTTAACTGTGGTGCCTAAGAGGCTGCTTCCTGCTCTAAATATTAATACTGTGATGCTTGAGCCAAACAACAGTCTCTCGGAAAGCACACAAGTCCACACGTGCACACACACATGCGTGAAAAAAGTAAATTGACACCCTGCCAATGTTAGGTGACACATGAATGGGCAGATCTGGGACCTGTGAATGTCTTTCCTTCATCTGGAGAGAAGTGAGTGACAGCCTGACTCTTTTTTTTTTTTATATTTATTGATTTATTATGTATACAATATTCTGTCTGTGTGTATGCATGAAGGCCAGAAGAGGGCACCAGACCTCATCACAGATGGTTGAGCCACCATGTGGTTGCTGGGAATTGAACTCAGGACCTTTGGAAGAGCAGGCAATGCTCTTAACCTCTGAGCCATCTCTCCAGCCCCCGACAGCCTGACTCTTAAGAGCCATCCGGGCCAGGAGCAACAAAGGAGGCCCTGCACACTCATTCCCCTGCCCCCAAAGTGGCCTGGAGGGGGTGGGGCAAGGAGGAATGGAAGCAGAGGCACTGTTGCTCCAGTATTTTCAATGACCTCTCATGGGAGTCACAGGGCTCCTGGGGCCCAGCTTCTCCTGTTCCACAGATGCTTGAGCTGACTGGACAGTAACTCCACCCCTTCCTGTCCTCAGAGCCAAGAACCAATAAGTTTTCCTTTGGGGAGTTGATAAGAGCTGGACAGGGACCAGCGGAGGGGGGCTCAGGACTTTGGCCTTGAATGAAACATCAGAGGCCAACTATGCCCCAGCTGCCTGTTAGTAACGGAAAATCTCATGTGTGGGGACCATTGTATTCTTTGGAGCCCCTCAGAGCAACCTCATCCTCCTGGCCTTGGGATGACCCTGGCTTGGGGTGGCAAGTTATCGTTGGGTCCAAGTAACAGCCAGGGATGCCTGGCAAAAGATGATGAAAGGTTGGGTACAGGAACACAATAAACAAAGGCCTAGAGAGGAGAGAGAGACACCCAAAGACAGGGAGGAGAGATGCTGAGTTCCTAATGAGGTGAGCTGTGCAACCGGACAAGGCTGACAGTGCCCTTTGCCTCTGGCTAGGGGCACTTGGAATGCTCTTCAGTAAGACTGTTACCCAGAGCCTGGCTATAGGGAAGTATCTGGCACCAACTTCAAAGGGATAATGGTGGTCCAGAGCCTACTTTCTCCGGCACCTGTAATGCTCACTCAGCAGAGTGGCCCAGGATGCCCAGAATGGGGGACAGACTGGGTGATAAAGGCTAAGGTAGCTTCCCCCTCCTAAAAGAAATTGTCCGACCCTACGTGCATTTGTTGCTTATGTCTTTTGGGGCTCTAGGAACACAGCAAGGTTTTCTTTGTTCCTAAGTCAGTTCAGTTCGTGGCCTGGCCCAGGTGAGAAGATTGATCTGTTATGAAAAGTGAGAGATGGAGGAGTTGGTTCTTCAACAAGTTGGTAACCACAGCAACGCCCCTCCCCCATCATGCCAGCGTGCTGTCATCATTCCCCCTGTGTCTGATGAGATGAAAGGAGTTTCTTCACATTTGACAGGTGGCTACAAGGATGGGACACTGGGAAGGTCTCTTGGTTGATTTGTCAGAGTCAGTGAGTGGTACGTGGAACTCCGTAGTGTTTAAGATCCCTTCCCTATGTGATAGCCTGCTCTTCCAGTCTATGATTGTATCAGTTTGAGCCCCAAAGTGAGATGTAGCTCTGCCTGAGATGAGCAGGATTAATGCTAGGGTTAGGGATGGTCTGGGCCGAAATGAAGCTGATTGGCCCAAGCTCTGGGTCCCTCCTTTCTTCAAGCACCTATGTAGCTATGACAGTAATAAGAAATAGAGGGGAAGAAAGTAGAGAGGAGGCAGTAGAGAGAAAACAGAAGGAAGGGAAAAGGGAATCAGATGGTTAACCAACCATACCATGGGGTGCCGCAGAGCCCTTAGGAACGCTGGTGCAAAGCAAGGTCCTTGTCTCTTTCAGCTTTCCTTCCCATAACCCCCAAATGGCTCCCAAGGATGGATGGCAACAAATCCCTCAGCAGAGGCTTGGGTCCCTCCCACTGGGTTCTGGGGACACAGTAGCACCTTTGGCAGTTGATTGTAGTGGGTAACTAACAAGCTGGGGCCAGAGGTCCCCTCTTCCTCCTCCTCCTCCTCTCCCCCCCCCAGGGGCTAGAAAGTGTATGGAGAGGATCCAAAGGCCAGGGGGTGATCCCACATTTTCCCAGATCCTGGGAGAAGGGCCTGGCAAGTTTCAAGGCATTCATGGGGGAGAATTTGCTTAATGAGTTTGGAACACTGAGAGCATTGGCTCAGAGGAGATGGTCAGGTGGCTGAAATGCTGTGTGCACAGGTTTAGGAACAAGTGTGCTGGTGGCAAAAATGTAAATGCTGAGCAGGGTGGGATGGAGGGGTGGGGTGGGGGAGGAGCACATGATGGCAAGCCAGAGGGATTAAATGGGCTCTTCAGGAGCGGGGGAGCCTGGCAGCAGTTCTCCGTTGGGGTCCGGATCGTGGGACAACATCTTATCCTTGCTGGAATCTCTCTGCTCTTTCTTGAACATCTTTTGATGCATCAGAGGGACGAAGAAGAGGATTACAGCCCCAATGATGGGGGGCACACCCGCAAAGTAGAAGGCCACATGGTAGTCACCAAAGCAGTTTCGAAGGAGGCCTGAAAGGGTCAAGAGACATGAGCTTAGTTTAGCTTTTCCCTGCAACCCAGAAATGCTCTCTCTCTCCTCTTCTAGGGCCAGCCCAGTGCCAATCAAGTGTGTTGGACTGTGCTGCCCTGATTCAGGAGCTCCCTCAACTTCAAGGCTAAATGCCCCTGAGGTGAATATTCATCAGCAAAGATGCTAATGAAGCTTCTTTTAAAGTTTCTGTGGTTGTCTTTCATTAAGCTACTAGCCACCTTTCAGTCACTCCTAGGGCTAGAGTTACAAAGGAATTGAGTTCAAAAGACTGAAGAGAATGGTTCATAGTGGAAGTCCCCAACCCCCCTCCTTCCTACCCTCATATTGTTCTTGTGCAGCAATTCAGCTGAATTCCTATTTTATTTTACATTTATTTATTATTCCTGCCTGTGTATGATGTGTGTGTGGGCACATGCATTACACGGTGATCACGCAGAAGTAGGAGGAGTTGTCTCTCCTTCCACTTTTACATATATTTCAGGGGTAACACTTAGATCAGGAGGCTCGCATGGCAAGCACTTTCTAGCCTTCTTGTTGTCCTTTTCCCTGAAGTTCCAGTTGCCCTAGGCGGAAGCTGAGCTGAATGTGTGTATCTTCTTCTGGCTCCTCTATGCACAAGTCCTTTGGGTTCTTCAGGCTGCCAATACTATGGGGTGTGTTTGATTTGAAAAGCTTACGTTGGAAGCTAAAGGAGGGACCGCACTGTAAAGATGAGTCCAGAAATACTACCTAAGAAAGGTGAGAAGATCCTTGTCCCTTTGTTTGCTCAGGAAATAAGCCAAGTGGACAGAATTATGACTCCCCTGGCACTCTTTGGATGAGTAGAGGCTCTTTTCCTGGTAGGCAGGACAGTGTTCCCACTGCACAAGAGCTTTGAGGGAAGATTTGCCACGGTCGCACAGACCTCTCACAATGCCTCATGCATAAAATGCTGTTACGGGAGGATTCTTTTTTTTAAAATATTACTTATTATTTTTATTTTTTTTAAATTTATTTATTTATTAAGGATTTCTGCCTCCTCCCCGCCACCGCCTCCCATTTCCCTCCCCCTCCCCTGATCAAGTCCCTCTCCCTCATCCGCTGGAAGAGCAATCAGGGTTCCCTGACCTGTGGGAAGTCCAAGGACCGCCCACCTCCATCCAGGTCTCTTAGGTGAGCATCCAAACTGCCTAGGCTCCCCCAAAGCCAGTATGTGCGGTAGGATCAAAAACCCACTGCGATTGTTCTTGAGTTCTCAGTAGTCGGGAGGATTCTTTTGAATTAGCTCATCTAACAAGCTTAGGGGAAGTGACCAAACAAGCTGACGTCTGCAGTAACTCCCTGGAAAGGAGACGGAGTTCTCTCTTCACTGTTTTTTTTGGTTTCGTGTGTCCCGTTAGTACTCACTATGCTCTTTTGGGAAGGGGGTGGAGGGAGAAATTTGCACACTGAGATGTCAACACCAGCATTTGGCCAGTCCTGGACTATTTCCTTCATTAAATCTTCACTATGGGTTCAGTTCCAAAGCCAGTAGAGGAAGAGCAGGAAGGGGAGGGTGTCTATAGTTTTAGTAAAACCAGGGCCAGCTTTCTCTTTTACCTCTTCCTTTACTCAATTGCCTTGAAATTAATCACGCCGCTGTGGAGAGAGTAAAGAGAAACTTGGACCAAAGTCAGTGTGATGTGCATACCTAAAAAAGTATTACAACTTGGATGGCTGAATCATGAAGAGGAAGAGTTGGAGGCCAGCTTCGTCTACCAGGTCACCCTAGGCTGCACAGTGATCAAGCAGGCTAACTTTACTTTTCCCTCTACTCTCTAGGAGCCTCGCTGTCTCCAGTGAAATGCGAGTGAAACCGATAGCCCTGGACAACCTATGCCCTTGTACGGTTAATCTCTTCCATCAGGGGTTTCATGCACTCTGACAAGGGTGTTTATACAGAAAATTGGGGGGAGGGGCAGAGGTCTCAAGCAGAGGGGCTCCAAAGAGCTAGGCCCTCCCCTTCGAAAACAGGACTCACACCTTCCTCAGAGATCAGCCTCACCTGCAATGGGAGGCCCAGCGATCATTGGCAGGGCCATCATGCCCAGGAGGTAGCCAATGGCCTGTGAAGCCTGCATTGGTCCCACCAGCTCAAATGCAATCGGAGCCATGATGGTGATGAAGAAGCCATCACATAGACCCAGGAAGAGGCAGACAACGATAAGGCCCCAGAAGTCCCGGCACAGAGGAATCATCATAGACATCAGGCCCAGGAGCAGGAATGAGAGGACCTAGAGAAACAAGAACCCGAAATCACATTTCTTTGCTGAGATCTTTGTTGCCATCATCTGAAAACGGGACTGCGTGGAGTGTCAGCAGAGAGAGCAGTTGGAGTATGTTTACTATGTACTGAAGCCCTGTCTAATTCTTTCCTTCCCTGAGGGGTTTGGCCTTTAAGAGAGCCCCTGTGTAGTTGAATCTAACAGGATTAAAAAAACAAAACAAAACAAAAAACCTTGTGAGAGTTTGCCTTGCCCATAGCCAAAGAAGTTGGCCTTTGCAATGGATCCTGAGCCAAGGGAGGAATCACTATTTCTGTTTTCTGATCCTGAGACAGGATTTGGGATCAAGCTATGTTGGTGTTTAAAGATCAAGTAAGGCTTGGGAGGAGGAAGGGAAGAGGCAAGGAAGGCCTGCTGATGATTACACAGGGGGTTCAATGCAAAGTGCAGTTTTTTAAAAATGAACAAGGAGCCAGTGTCCATATTTGTTGGGGTAGAATTTAGGAAAAACCTGGGCCTGAGAGATGCCATGGGGAGGTTCTCTCGGGTTTTCTTATGCTTTAGAATATGGGCCACATCCTCTCTCTCAGATATTTCAGACATCGTGGCTTTGAGAACCTTTGAACCGGGCAAGATACTCTTGAGAAGGCAACAGAGAGGCTGTGCAAGGGTGCTAAGCCAACATAAAGGTATCTGCAGCACCCAAAAGCAGTCCAGGAGCACTGACTAGTCACTGTGATTTCTTCAGGCTGAGCAAAATGACTCCAAACGGAAGAACCCGTCTTTCTAGAGACTAGGTTTTATTTTTTTCTTCTGGAACCCCCATCCTCTCTCTGGTTTTTAATTAAGGCCGTTTGCAATCTGCGTCTGTGAGCCAGACTTTTGAAGCCTGGGACTGTGGGCATAGAGAGGAGACCCCATTCCCAGCCCACTGCAGCTGGTTGAGTGAGGTCATCTCAGGGCCAGATCTAAGACCTGATCTGTTTACTAAGACTTTAAGATGCCCGCAGATTTTCCAAAAGCCTACAATTGACCAATAGGCAGGGAAACAAACCCAGGGACACATAGAAGAAACACATGTCAAATCTGTTTTATGCCCTCCAGCTTTTCTGTGTTGTTGCTGACAATGGCTTTGTTAGGTTAGGAGCCGATTTCTGGAAAAGATAATGGCATCTTAGAATGTTTTTATTGGGAGACTTTGAACTTGGTTCATGCCATTTTGAGGTAGTTACATAGAAGTTAGTAATAAGAACTGAGCCACCCCAGCTTCTCCTGTAGGAACATCACATGCAACCATGAGCTAAAATCAAACCCCCCTAGCAATTGAGCTGATCATGGCAGTTAAGAGTTAGTATTATTATATATGACAAAGGAGCCCATTAGCTGATCTTCATCAGCTGAAATTGCTAACTGTTGTATCTAGCTCTCTCTTATCCTCCATGAGGCCTAGTCAAGGCTTGGAAATTTATAATCCCTCCTCAAACTGGAGCACAGGCTTCAAAAATGGTCTCCAATGAGGTCATTTGGCATGCTGTTTCTATTTCCTTTCTAACAGACTTTCTAATAGTCATTCGGGGGCTAGATACCTGGCATGGCTGTTGGTTTTACCAACTTTAGGGAACCACAGGGTCTACAGGGTGAGTGGCTCTTGAGAATCTGAAGCCTCATGCCCTCCTCTCCTTACCCATGCCTAATTTCTGCAGCTGACACTGAGAGCAAAGGAGGTCACCAGTTCCCGAGATGGAGCATCTTGAAAAACTGAAAAGAAGCCAGTGGTGCACACCTTTAATCCCAGCACTTGGGAGGCAGAGGCAGGAGGATCTCTGAGGGTTAGAGGCCAGCCCGGTCTACAGAGTGAATTCCAGAACAGCTAGAGCTATTACACAGAGAAGTCCTGCCTTGAAAAACCAAAATCCAAAAAACTTAAAAGAAAGAAGCTCATTCATTGTCTTGTGCTTTGGTCCTAAAATGCTCAGTTTTCTTTTTGAAGAAGTGTGTGTGTACATTTGTGGATCCAGATGCATGCGCATGTGTAAACACATGTGTGGAGGCCAGAGGAAAACTCCAGGTGTCAGCTTCACTCAGGAAGACTGTTTACCTCTTTGGAGAAAGAGTCCCTCACTGGCCTGAAGATCAACAATTAAGCTACAATAGCTCGCTATCAGGCTCCAGAGACCCTCTTATCCTTCCCTCCCTGGGGATTCCAAGAGAGCACAACCGTGTGTGTGAGTGTGTGTGTGAGAGAGAGACAGTGTGCATGTGGAGGTCAGAGGACAACTTTGTAGTGTGGATTCTCTCCTTCCACCTTTATGTTGACTCTGAGAACTGAGAATTGAACTCAGGTCGTGAGGCTTGTGTGGCAAACACCTCTACGCACTGAGCCATCTTGCTGTCCCCTCTTTTGTTATTGTAAAGCTTTTAAAAACGTGGGGTCTGCCCAGAAAGACAAGTATCACATGTACTCACTCATAAGTGGTTTTTAAACATAAAGCAAAGAAAAACCAGCCTACAAACCACAATCCCAGAGAACCTGGACAACAATGAGGATCCTAAGAGAGACATACATAGATCTAATCTACATGGGAAGTAAAAAAAGACAAGATCTCCTGAGTAAATTGGGAGCATGGGGACCTTGGGAGAAGGTTGAAGGGGAGGGGAGAGGAAGGAAGGGGAGCAGAGAAAAATGTAGAGCTCAATAAAATCAATAAAAAAAAATAAAACAAAAACAAAAACAAAACAACAACAGACCCATGGGGTCAGATGATCAAATTCAGGCACCTATACTTACAAGGAAACCAGTTTACTGTCTGAAGCACACCCAGGCCCACACTCTCAAAATTCATAACACGAGGGAGTTAGGCTATATGGTGATGATGATTTCTCAGCTACGTTCTAACGTTATTTTATATTATTCTAAGTGGTGAAACTGGGTCAAGTATGAGAAAGGAAAATGGGGGAAGACAACAGAAGTCCCGGATTCTACCTAGCTCAGCCTTTAACTAGCTGTGCCTCCTTGTCCCTTGGAGCTCTAACTGCACAAGAGAAAGCAAAAGCAATCTAGGCCTTGGCTATCTGCTGGGAACCGTGCTGAGAGAAGCCTGTGAGGTACAGTACCAGGCAGGGGCTGCTGCCTCAGTGAAGAAGAACGTTCTGGCTCAGTGCCAGCTTGCCTTATTTTCTTCTCTCTCTGGCATCTTGAAGCTGCTAACACTGGCAGGGAGGGCCCATGGTGGGGGACATGTAAAAGGGGCTGGAAGCGCACATATTCTCCTATCCAAAAAGCCACTCCGATAAAGGACTTGCTGATATTTGCACCAGAATTAAACATTTCATAATTTCTTTATCCTAGTCATAAACCCTTGGTTTGACCTTGGCCAGTTCACGTATCTCTCAGACTTGGGCCTGCTATCCATAATTTAGAGAAATACAGGTATGCTAGTTAGGTGTTTTTATTTTTATTTTTATTTTTTTTATCAACTTGACACAAGCTAGGGTTATCTAAAGAAGAGGGAACCTCAATTGAGAAAATGTTCCCATCAGATTGGCTTTTAGGCAAGACCATGGGACATTTCTTTGGGAGGGCTGTTTAAGACAGGGTTTCTCTGTGTAACAGCTCTGGTTGTCCTGGAACTCGCTCTGTAGACCAGGCTGGCCTCAAACTCAGAGACCCACCTGCCTCTGCCTTCTGAGTGCTGGGATTAAAGGCGTGCGCCAACTCTACCCTGCTGACTATGAGACACTTTATTCATTGATGATTGATGTAGAAGGGTCCAGGTCACTGTGTGTAGTGTCATATCTGGGCAGATGGTTCTTGGTTCTATAATAAAGCAGGCTGAGCAAGCCAGTTAGCAAGCAAGCATTCTTTCATGGCCTCTGTTTCCGTTCCTGCCTCCAAGTTCCTGCCCTGACTTCTGGTCATGATGGAATATGTAAGATGTAGAATAAAATAAACCCTTTCCTCCCCAAGTTGCTTTTGGTTATATATGGTGTTTGCTTCTGTATGGTGTTTACCTTATCCGTAGAAAGCCAACTAGGACAATAGGATATGAGAAGCACGCTGTGCAGGAGCACAGGTCTGCCATTTCTGTGGAAGACGCTGGTCCCTCGGTTTCTCTTGCAGTGTGATGCTAGATTGGCCTGGGTGGGCTACAAGGGGACCCATAACTCTGGGGAAGCAGTCACCAGCTATTGCAACCAGAAGAATCAAATTCCACAGAAAGATGAATCATATCCCTATCTATGACACCTGACGGCATTTAGGAACTAATTTGGCACTGCCAATGACCATGGAATTCCCACTACAATTAGTCAGGGCCTCACAGAAGTAATTTTAGGGTTTTCCCAGGAGAGAAGGGAGTTCAAACTCAACCTCTTCCTGGTGCGTAATTTGTGACTGTTTGTGTTCTGTGGCTGCTTTTGGTCTTTTACAGGCCTTTACAATCTGGCATCTCCTGGCAAGCTTGATTGCAGGATCAGAACCATGAGCCAGGCCAGGAAGGGTACTACTGCTGTTAGAGAGACAAAAAACTGCCTATATTCAAACCAGACAGAACCCAGGTCACAGAAAAAGACGTCACTAGAATACCTGGGCGGTCACTGCCCACAGTGGGAGGAAACCTGTATCACTGTCAGAGGACTAAACTGGACCATCTCTCTATTTGTTTTGATGCTTGCTTTTATGCTAAGTTAGGAAGGGGGACAATTATTCTTGCTGCACAAATAGGACAGTGAGGGCTAGAGAGAAGGAATGAGGTTTGGCTTTTTCTGGCATGATTTTGGTGTCCATCAGTAGGATGGAATTTCAAGTTTGTTTGTTTGAAAAAGGGTATCTCGGGGGGCTGGAGAGATGGCTCAGTGGTTAAGAGCATTGCCTGCTCTTCCAAAGGTCCTGAGTTCAATTCCCAGCAACCACATGGTGGCTCACAACCATCTGTAAAGAGGTCTGGCGCCCTCTTCTGGCCTTCAGGCATACAGACAGAATATTGTATACATAATAAATAAATAAATAAATAAATATAAAAAAAAAAGAAAAAGAAAAAGGGTATCTCGACATAGCTCTGGCTGTCCAGGGACTTGCTATGTAGATCAAACTGGTCTTGAACACACAGAGATCTGCCTGTCTCTGCCAGGGCTGGCATTTCAGAGCTAGTGCCTGATGCTAACAAGGTAGCTCTGGAAATGTGCGAGGTGGTGGACCTGGGCCTGGAAGAGAGAGGCACTGGGCTGGAGAGTGTTTCAGATTTCAACATAGTATAAGGAACCCATGAACAAATCTTGCTTGGGGGACACATCTAACTCGTGGTCTGAGTTTTCCATTTTCATTTGTTGGGCTCTTATTAATATAAAACTACCTGTCAAATGTTTGCAAGGTTCCATACACACAAACTCTCATGGAATCTTGACTCCATTTTAGTGAAGGAGGAACAGGGGAAACCAAGTCACAGAGAATTTAAGTATCTCTCATGTGCAACGTTGGGGCTCAGAAAACTGCAGTGGCTCACCTTACAGCCTGTTGCAGAGCCGAGGGGTAACCTGTGGTAGACTGTGCACAAGTGACTACTCACCTGCAGGTATATCTTCTTCAGTCCAGGAATGGAGTCACTGATGTGGCCTGACACAAGACGTCCGAGGCCTGAGGTAGCCCCAATACACACCAAGAGCACCCAGGTCTCCTTGATTTCCTTGAACTCATCTTCCACATATTTCGTCTGAAAAGAATAACACCAGGATTCCCAGAACAGGAGAAGAAAGAGGAACTGACTGGTTAAATGCAGAAGTATCCAGGGTTTTCTACTACTCCCTTCCCTGGACCAGGACAGGAGTCTCCTATTGGAGTAGTACCTCCCAGCTCCTGGAAAAGCCCCCTGGCTACTTCTAGCAATCACAAAGGCTACTTATCCTAGACTCTCTGGAATTTGAACTTTTGAGAAACAGTTGACAGGGCTAGGCACTTCCAAGCCTTCTAAGCCCTGCCAAGACAAACTACCTAGAAAACCTAGGTGTTCTTCTATACTGTCTCCATACAATGACTTCAAACTGACAGGCCGAAATATCAGGTCACTAGAAGATGAGGTCCATTACCTTAGGCAACTCTTTAAAAATGTGCTTTACAGCCGGGCGATGGTGGCGCACGCCTTTAATCCCAGCACTTGGGAGGGAGAGGCAGGCGGATCTCTGTGAGTTTGAGACCAGCCTGGTCTACAGAGCTAGTTCCAGGACAGGCTCCAAAGCCACAGAGAAACCCTGTCTCGAAAAAGCAAAAAAAAAAAAAAAAAAAAAAAGTGCTTTGCAAAACATAGGGTCTACAGGCTAGGGATATAGCTCTGTAGTAGATCACATGCTTAGTAGGGACAAGGGCCTGTGGTCCATCCTTAGTGCGCATGCATGGACACACAAAACCTCATAGTCTGTAGAATAACAACTTCTCTACAACCAGCAGTTCTGTGGCCAAGTAAGTTTGGTAGGTGCTGGTTAAACAGCTGAATGGGCTTTTAAATTGCAGGATTTGTCACTAAGAGATTACTTACATACTATGGATCTAGAGAGTTCCCATACATGCTTTCTCCTGAACAGAATCACTTGACCACAGACAGCAGAATTTCTCAGAACAGTCTTTACAAAGCACGTCTTGGGTCATTTGAGCCACTCTTTCAGTGATGCTTAGCCTCCTAAACCCATCTCTCCAATTAAACATTTTGTTTTCAGTACTAGGGATGAAACTAGGACCCCGTGCATGCTAGGCGAACACTCCATCACTGATTTATTTGCTGCCCTAGCCCTCTTTTAGCCTTTTCTTTAAAAAAAAAAAATTTCGAGACACACTGTTGATAATTTCTCAGAATGGATTGAATTCATACTGTAGTGCAGACAGGCCTGGAACTTGCCAGCCTCCTGCGTAGTTGGGATTTCAGGCCTGTACCATCAGGCCTGGTTTCCCTCTGAACTGTTATCATGGGAGAAGCTATGGATCATGGGCCTTGCCCTTAAGGAACTACCCTCATTTCCCACTGAGGCTCTCTTTGAACCGTGCTCTTTACTTCTCTGCCAATCGCCAACTACTGTTTTGTTTCTTTAGTCTTTGTTCCCTTTCTGTTTATTTGTTTTGAGAAAGTGTCTTGCTGTGTATGTAGCCTAGGCTGGCATCAAACTCACAGCAATCTCCCTACCTCAGTCTCCCAATTGCTGAGTCTACAGGCCTGAGCTAACCATGCTTGGCTCTGTCTCCCCCCTCCCCAAAGCTCTGCCCTTCCAATGTCCTCTACCCCCACCCTTTGGCCTTCATATAAGTTGAGGTCAGCTTCCTCCTCACCAGGTGTACATAGGGGACGAAGTAACCAAGAGCGGCAGCAGCGATCCCAAAGGCCCAGATGCGGTAGGTGCGTTGGCGGAACACACGCATGTTGAAGTACTTCCTGAACTGAGCCACAAAGCGCTGTCGCAGGGTGTGGGCACCTCTCTTGCTGGGGGTGTCCTGGGAGCTGGGCAGGAGGGGTCGGTAGGTGAGTGAGAGCAGTGTAAGGAGAAACATGAAGGTGCTGAGCACCTGGAAGGTTTGGGCCAGCTTGATTTTATCCCCCAGCATTTTTATGAGTAAGGGGAATGACATGGAGAAGATGCTACTTCCTGCAGACACCACGCCATTGGCTAGACCCAGGCGACGTTGAAAGTAGTGGCCCAGGATGACGAGTGATGGTTGAAAGGCGAAGGAGCAGCCGCAACCAAAGAGAATCCCGTAGGTGAAGTAGCGCAGGCTTAGGGAGCTGTGGGAGAAACAGCAAGAGCTATCCTCAGTAGCCTGGTAGCAATTTATCTGCCTCCCTCTCGTGTCCTTGGCATTCCTCCAGCTTTTCCCACAGTCCTACTTGCCATTAATCTGCAGAGCAGATAGAGAACCTCTGAACTCCACTTTGCAGATGGGGATTCAGAGGTCCTGAGAGGGAATTTACCTAAAGTAACTCTAGATTAAAAAAAGTTCTTGGTGTTCTATTCTTTTTTTCTTTCTTCTTTTTTTAAAGACAGAGTTTCTCTGCGTAGTCTTGGCTGTCCTAGAACTCATTCTCTAGACCAATCTGGCCTTGAACTGAGAGATCTGCCTTCCTCTGCCTCCCAAGTGTTGGGATTAAAGATGCAGTTTTTTAAACCACTGCAGTTTTTAAGACTAGCCAACTGAGTAAGACTGTGAGACCAGACCCCAGCCAATGGGGAAAAGACATAGTTAGACTGAAAAACAAGTGCATGTTCTGTTGATGTATGCCAGCTCTTCCGAATGCACCCTCTTGATCAAGAATAAAATGTGCCTTGTCCAGGCACTTAAAAAAAAGCTTGGCCTTGGGACACATGTGGTGGCATGCACCTGTAATCCCAGCACTCAGGAGCCTAAAACAAGATTATCAGGTGTTCAAGGGCAGCCTGGTCTACACAGCAAGACTCTGTCTTATTTTTTTTTTTAGAAAAAGATTGGACTTTAATCCAGATCTATGTGATTATAGCATCCAATAAAAGAGGATTAAACAAAAAGAAAAAGAAAAGAGGGGCTACAGGAGACAGTCTGTGCCTTCAGAAGAATAGTTTCCCCTTACTTCCTACCTAGACACTATGAGTAGACTGGGGGACCAGTTTTATACCAAGTAACAACAAAGGCTTGCAAGGATCCAAGATTCTGGTCTTGGAAGGTTACACTGTTCTTTCGGGTTCTTTGGTGCATCATTATTCTCAGGACCTGTAATATTTCAAAGGCTGGTCAATTATCTCAGAAGAACTTCCTTTCTCCGCATCCTTGCCCAAGGTCCAGATAGCCCAAGCCTTTTTTCTCGAGCTCCAGGTAATGTATGTAGGAACTGTGAGTTAGGAAGTCCCTTTAATTTTCAGAATTCTGTCTCTGTTGCTGCATGAAACATGGATTAGTTCCCTTCGAGTAAGTAGCCTGCTTGATTGACAGAGAAGTGAAGCCTCAAGTTACGGGCCCGACTGAGAAAGGCTGTTGCTTAAAACTCATGGGCCCTGCTCTGCCACAAGCGTCTGTAACAGAAGGTAAAATGTGAGAAGGGGAAAGGTTATGCATGGGCAGGTCAGTATGGCTGGCATCTACCCTCACATAATACTGGCCCAACCTAGTGAACAGTTGTTTTCTTTTGCATGCTTCTGTATATTTTGCAATAGTTCTTATCTGACCATTAAATTAACCAATACTCTTCTTGTTCTTCAGACACAGACCCAGCTTTTATACTCACTACCAGTGGCCCCTTGATTCCAAGAAAACTATCATTATTATGGCCTCCCATCTGCTCATAGTCATTGGCCATGAGTAGGAGGTTTAGTTAACTAAATAGGAGGTTGTCTCTACTTTGAACTTGTAGCTAAGTTGATTGCTGCTCTTCTGTCAGACTTCTTGGGGTCTTCTCCCCTTAGATTGTAGGTATCCTATGGGATTGGCTGGGCTGGGCCCTTATCCAAAAGAGTCTTGAGTTAGTCTTGAGGAAAGGGATCTTGGGGGAAAACATGGGATTCAGTTTAGGGTACTGTGTGGTGAGTGTTTCTAACTGGCCTCCAGGATGGGAGACCCTTAGGCCCCTGAGGGCTGCCTGTGCTGTGCCCTGTTCCAGTCATCCAAAAGGACTCAGAGCTCTGATGTGAGACGATGGGAAGAATGACTTGAAGTTCTAGCCACAAGCAGAATCATGTTGTTCTCCCTGAACTTTAAACCATCCAGAGTTTCTTGGCTCTGAAAATGTTCTTACAAGAAAGAGCGAACAGAATAGGGGGCCATTGGCTAGAGAGAAAAATGCCTCCTCCAGTGGGCTGAGATAAGAGTGCCAGGAGAAAAAAACCACATCGAAGTGCATTCCCCCACCCCGTGCCCCAGCCCATGTGGGCTGCGGAGGAAATGAGATCCTTATGGTGCTAATTTGTTTACACTTTGCTGCGCTCTGCCTCTGCTATGTAGCATTGAGATTAGAGATACTTCAGAGGCCTAGCTCATCTCCACAAGAATCTGGTACCAGCTTGCTGGGGGTGGGGATAATGAGGCTGACCACCAGAAGGGTCCTCAGAAAGTTTAGAGCTGTTGTGTTGAGAGGGCCGAGAAGGTTCCAGGCAGAATATGGGTTCCTCCTCTCCCTTGTCCTAGTTGGATGGGTCGGAACCAACACACCACACTGCATGCCAAATCTAAGCTTTGCTGGAGGGTAGTCTGGGCAGCCGGAAATGCTCAAGTCATTAAGACAGTTGGCTCACTCCCATAGGGCCTAGCTGAGACAGAACATGAGTCTCATTCTCCACTGTGGATGAAAACTTAAGTCCAGAAAGCCATGGTTTTCTCTTGGGAGTCATACTCAGAAAGCAAGTGTCTTTCAAGTTAGCTCACTCTCCATTCCACACATGTTATTGTGGCCATGTTTATGGGTCCAGGTCATTATGCTCTTACATAGACCCAGGCAGACTGGAAGTAGGGGGGTACCACAGCTTGCGAAATGTATGGCAGAAAGTTCTCAACCTTGTTTGGGAATCTCCTACTTCTCTTGCTGTAGGATAGGGTCTGTATCCTTGCCTCCTCTGTACACACGCTTGTGCAGGGCTGCCAGGAGAGAAGGCAGAAATCCATGTGGATGGAGCCTTCTCACCTAGCATGAACAAGTTCTATGAGTGCGACCGATGAACCTAGGACTTGAGTTTCATCTGGGTGGCTGGGGTTTGGAGCTGTACTTCAGTGGGAGGATGTTGCTAAACATCCTTCCCATGCCTGAGACATGAGAGTCCCTATCTGTGTCATCCACCCATCTTTCCAGAGCCCGAGCCACCCAGAACAGGGCCAGACATGCTAACCAGCTGTGTGCTCAGAGTATCTGTTTTTCAGCTGAAGATTGATTTGGGAGTGCTAGGGCTTCACGTTAGCTCACTTAAGGAGTCTTCTGGGAGGAAAGGCAGGGTTTTGAGGTGTGTGCCACATTAGTGGGGAGCTTGGAGAGATCTGAAGCAACCACATGATCTCTGAAAGATTTAGAAAGTGAGGTCCAGACAGGAGAAGGATACTCATCAATTACTCCATAGCTATTCAGTGGTCAAATCAGGACTTGACCCGCTCTGTGAACTACCGGGATTTGGTTCCTCACAATATTTTAGAACTTTGGGTCTTTTGGGGGGTGGATATTCCTGGCAGGTGTATCCTTCAGATTCCACATAAAGTGAGTTGCAGTTGATCCTGAGTCCTGGGAGCAAGGTCTTTGAGGGCTCTCCATGGACAGAACCACAGGGGATTCTGCAATGAGAACAGTGTTTCTAGCTGAAGTCCCAAGAAAGAAGCCAATTCTCACCCTTGAAAAAGTGGCCAGCAACTCCAGGCCTTACCTGGTGAAGGAACTGGTGTGGAGGCCAATGAAAGCCACAGCAGCCCCGGTGGTGGCTGTGATCCGGCAGCCCAAACGGTCCGTGAATATACTCACAATGGGAGAACAGAAGAAGATCATGCCCATGGCGAGGGCTGCAACCCATGCTGTAGAGAAAAGGAGCACAGAGACACCGGTGTTACTGTGATGTCTAATGTTGCCGCCGCCGCCACATCAGGTCTTCTTTGGCCTTTCCAAGGTGACGCTGATATTCCGAGCGGTATGCAAAAAGAGATGAGACATGAAACAGATTTGAAGTGCGGGTGCTGGATTTGGACTAGTCAATTCTGCAACAGAAGGCAGGGATGCTAGGCCAGATATGCACTTTTAGGAATTGAAATGCTTCAATTCAGGGGTGAGGAGAGTTAGAGTAAGCTTTAGGATTGGGTCAGGCTTGTTTCAGTCCTTGGGATACAAATCTAAATGTCACGATCAAGGAACAGGGAAGATCACAGCCAAAAATGCCTCCCGGAATTGTGCTAGAATATAGAACAGATTTCGGGGGCCATCTGAAGATTTCCAGGGACTCTATGCGAGACAGGCAAAGAAGCCACATGCTGCCACCCATCACCGAAGCCCACGTCTGGCAAATCTCTGATCTCCAAACTCACAAGGAGTTGATTTTATTTCCAGAGGCGTCGTGCCTGTAACAGCCCTCACCAAGGAGGAACGTTGCCCTTTTACTCACATTCTTCCAGCCCATTTCCCCTTGCTTGGCTCTCAGAAGGAGCGCCCAAGTTTTTTGTTTGTTTAAAAGCTGTTATCGGGTTTCATCTTGAGCCTCTCTCTTCTAGGTTAAATAATCTTAGTTCCTTTAAACTTTTCTTTTCAGCTTTAATTTACTTTTGTAACTCTGTAATTATTTTCAGAGTCCTCCTCTGAACTCATTCCAAGACTTCATCATCATCATCATCAAAAAGCATATTCAACCAGTGTCACCTGAGCAAAGGCGCTGGGCCGGTTTCTTTCTCCTTCCAAGTGAACAACCCCAAGTGGGCCAGAGGGAAGGGCCACTCCACTGCCTGTGCCTGGCTGGGCCTCTTCCTTCAGCGCCAAAGAGTAACTGTTCTCAGAAATCGTCTTCACTTAGCTAGGCTGGTGTTCTGAGTTCTAGCTGCCCAGCTTCTAAACTCCTGGCCCAGGATAGCCGGGGATCTGGACATGCATTTCTGTTTCAGCCTTTATGATATGTGGGACCATGGGAAATCACACGAAGCTTTGCTAATCGAATTTCCCACTTGTGGGGTGCGGATTAAAATTCTTGTGCTTTTCTTAAAGTGCCCCCCTTTCCCTTAGCAGTGTTGGGGACAGAGCACAAGGACTCATACGTGATAGGGAAGCGTTCTACCACTCAGCCACAGCACTAGCTCAGCCCTCAAAGTGTTTTCAAATAAAATAATGATAAGATGTAATCATATATAGAAGAGAGCTTCGGAAATGTGAAGAGCTATACTGTACATAAAAATCAACGGAACTCTGACCTTAGACTTAAATGTAAAAGTATAAAACTTCCAGGAGAAAATATAGGAGAAAATCATTTTAATTTTTATTTAAACAAAGGTCTCATAGAATGCTCATATGAACTATGGTCCATAAGTGAAACATTGATGCTCTAGACTTTACCATAGCTTAAAATTCCTGCTTAAAAAACCAACCAAGATCTGATGGAGCCCAGGCTGGTCTCAAACTAGCCACCTCTCCCAACTAGTTATTTACAATTCTTCCCTGATTGCCCTTGGTCTTGGGGGAGGAGCTAGAGGACATAGGTGGGAGAGGATAAAAGGAGGGGGGTTTACCTACACAGCCACTAGGAAGCCATCATCCTTGCTAGGTACAGCCTTCAGTGTGGCCACTTTAAGGTCACCTATGCTCCTATTGAATCCCTCAGCCACTGCTCTGAAGTAAGCCTAATAACACCCTGGTTTGTTCCCCAGGGTGAACTTCGGTGGACTTGGTTTGTCAGTGGGACCTTAGGAAAAGGGATAGACATTGTTTACTCCTCTTCCAGGGAAGGAAATTTAGCAACATGGGATTACAGATTTGGATCGCCACATTCAGCTTAAAACTTCCATGCTTTAAGGAAAAAGAAATAGTTATGAGGTCCAGAGACATAGCTCAGCCAGGAAAAACATTTGCTGCACAAGCCTGATGACTTCAATTCCCAGAACCCACGTTAAAAAATGGACATCGTGTCTTGTGCCTGTAATTCTAGTACTCCTACAATACTAGAGACGGGAATAGGAGAGCCCCCTGAAGCTTATGGGCCAGCTAGCTTGGAGTATGCCGCATAGCCACAAACCACAAGAGAGACCCTGCCTTAAACAAGGTGGAAGGTGAGGACAGAGACCTCTACATAACTTCACACACAAACATATATACACACATCACACATATGCAAAATAAATATTAAAAGTTATGAAAACAAAAACGCAGATAATAGATTGCAACATATATATCTGGTAAAAGATACATCCAGCACAGAAGTCTGAGCTGATTATCACTACTCAACAAGAATGCAAATACTTCAATTTAACCAGATAAAAGACTTGAACATGAATCATACACACACACACATACACACACTGATTATCAATTAAGCACATAAGAAGTTGATAAATATCTTTAATCATTTGATAAGTGCATACTAAAATTACAATGGAGTCAGGAATTGGCTGGCACATACCTGTAATCCTAGAACTTGGAAGGCTGAGGTAGGAATTCAAAGATTAAGAATTTAAAGCCAGTCTGGGACACATGGTAAGACCTTGTCTCAGAACACCAAAACCAACCAAACAAATACGTAGGAAACATCACAATGAGACATCCCTTACACATCTACAAAGAAGACGACTTAAGAAATGTTAATACCTAGTACTGGAAGGACGTATAGGAGCTGGAAATCTCACACTCTGCTTGACAATTTTTTGTGAAGTCAATCATGCTCTTAACATGTTTCAGTGAAATCTCACTCTTAATATTTGTGTTCATACAAACCCTATACCTGGGGATGAGGGAGCACCTAGAGACAGTAGTTGGTGCCTAGCATGCACTACATCCTGCTTATATTATCAAGGTGGGGAAAGCAAACCGCCAAGCAGTCCAACAACCCTAGTTCTCAATAATTACAGAAGCTTCTTTTCATAGCTGCTGAAACCTGGCAAGAGTTCAAACATACGGACAAGGAATAAACAAATGGGTATGCATCAATACAGCACGCCCACAAATAGTATAAACTAGTAATATACACAGCCACTTGGATAATTCTCAAAGGTGTTATGCTAAGTGAAAGAAGACAAACTCAAATGACCCTACTCAGGAAATTCTAGAAAAGAACAAAATTATGGAGACAGAGAAAGAGGAGATGAAGGTGAGATTTATCAATGAGAGGCACTAGGGAACATTTTGGAGGTCCTTTTTTGAGAGTGTGTGTTTGCTGTGAGTGACTGTTCTCTGAGTGAAGCAACTGACATCTTGGGGCATTCAGCTGCACCCCTTTGAGAATGACCACCCCAGCTGTGGTTGTTGATGGTTTATACCCCAACAGAGAGGGGCAGGGAGGACAGAGACGGCCATGAGATTCCCATTATCCTGCTTCATACTACCTGGTGTATGAAATGCTACCTTAATTGTCCATGCCTGGAAGAGGAAAAAATATGTGGAGAGGACTAGATGATGGCTCCATTTATGTGGCTGTAGAAAAGCTCTTATCCCTGCTGGGTAAGGCTTTTCCTGCTGGGGAAAGGGACACCCAAACCCCTGTAAGTAACCCCTTACCTATACTCTGTAAGGAAGTCCAATAAACTCATTGGTTCCCCACAGTGAACTTTGGTAGGATTGTGTCTTGGTTTGTCATCAGGAACTTAGGAGAAGGGTAGACATTGCTTATGTCTCACCCTGGGAAGGAATTTTAGTAACAATGTTTCAGTGGTAGTGTGTGGCATGTGTTAACGCATGTGAGCACAAAATAGTGTGACTATTACCACATGTAAAATATATCTCTAAATCTTACATTGCTTTTAACAGGGACAGAGGTTCAGTGGAAAGAGCGCTTGGTTAGCATGTATAAGACCTTAGATTCAGTTCCTGACACTAAAAGTGGCAGGGCAGGAGAGTAGGGTGTAGCATTTTGAGGTTTTACTTGGGGTACATATATATTTTGTTCTAGCCCAATTTAAAAATGCCTCAGTTGTATTGTGAAAGAGGAAAAAACTATTTGAGCTCTTCTGAATATCTACAGTACAATGAAAACTGATAACTAAGTTCATAAAGTATCTTTTGTGTTGTACAAAAAAGCTTACACTTTATTTGACATAGCTTTTAAAATTAATATAACTTAAAAACTTAAAAAATTGAAATACCAATTGATTTACAGAAAACAGTCAAGACAGCTCAGAGGGTTTCATGAATTATTCACCCAAATTTTCTTTATGTAACTTTAGTACAATATTAAAATGAGGAAATTGACAGTGGTATGATACATACTTATAGTTCTATATCCTCTTATTATGTAAAGATTCCTATCACAAATTAAAGTGTACAACTATTTCAACATCACAAAGATCTCCTTTTTCCCATCCATTTATAGGCATGCCCGAAGTTCCTGCCACTGTCCCTGACTCCTAACGATACCCACTAACTTATTTTGCATCTTCATAATATTTTTATTTCATAAAAGTTATATAAACTGAGCATGATAACACATACTTGTCATCCTAGTACTTGAGATTCTGAGACAGGGAATCAGGAGTTCAAGGCCAGCCTAAGTTACATATTGAATCCAAGTTCTGCCTGGGATCCATGAGACTCTCTTTAGAAAAGAAAAATACTAAAAAGTAATATAAATGTAGTATGTGGTCTTTCGAAATTTGCTTTTAAGACTTCTGCATAACAAAGAGCACAATGACCAGGGTGAAGATAAAACCACAGAATGAGACAGAATATGTACTATAGATATATTATATGCATAATACATATTCTATAAATTCGGACAGAGGATTGCTATCTCAAACATATAAAGAACCACAAAAACTAAATGCCAACATTCAATCTATAAATGGACCAATGAGCTTAACAGTTCTCAAAAGAAGAAGTATAAACAGCCAATAAATACTTGAAAATAAGATAGGGTGGCACAAGCCTGTAATCCCTGCTCTTGGGACGCGGAGGCTTGAGGATCAGCAGTTCAAAGTCATTCTCAGGTACTTAGTGAGTTAGAGGGAACCTGAGACCTACATAAGAACCTCTTACCAACAATAGCAACAAAAACAAACTTGAAAAAGTGGTCATGATCTTTTGCCCTCAAGGGAATGCAAATTCAAATTACTTTGAGCTTTCATTTCCCCGTAATCCGAATGTCTATCATCATGAAAGCAAACAAATGCAGGCGAGGATATGGGGGAAAGGAGCTCCCATACACCACTGGTGAGAATGTAAACTGCTGTGGATAACATGGGAATTCCTATGAAGATTTTTCACAACCGAAAAATTGATCTACCATATGACCCAGTTCCTGGGAATAGGCTCAAATGACTCTAAGTTAACATACCATAGACAGACTTGCACATCCATGTTTAGTGTTCTAATAGTCACAAAACCTAGGAAATGGAAGCAGCATAGATGTCCATTAGCAGATGAATAGATAAAATATGTGATACATCTACACAATGGAATTTTATTCAGTCTTAAAAAAGGATGGAACTGAAAATGTTTGTGCTAAGTGAAATAGCCAGATACAGAAAAACAAATACAAATAAATAAATAAATAGAAAAACAAATACCATCATGACAGGCACGGCTGGGACTCGATTTGATTAGGGGTGCTTAGGAAATGAAGAAAAGATAGACAGCCAGATATGCATATAGAAAAGCTGGGGTCAGCTGGCCTGTGTGCACTCTGATGGAGATGCACCAACTACTACAGCAATCCAGAACCTCAGCGTGTTGATTCTATGTAACACAGAGAGGAGTTAGCTAGTCTCTTAGGATGCCTCTTTAGGTATTGTAAACACCTGGGAGGAGGTGTTTACCACTCTAGTTGGTGGTTTGAACCTGGGGGAGGTGTGCAGAAATGAGGTGGACTAAAGTCTCATACAATAGCTAATTTTATTCAGGGCATCAGGCAATTTATACTCCGAGGGTTAAGACGAATAACACGAGTAAGGTGTTCAATCAATCACAAGGACAAGACGAACATGGCAAAAAGCTGTTTTCTTCATAGAGGCATATGAATAATGACAGCTGGAGTCAACTCTCTGCTAGTCACTATATCTGATATGGGAGAAGGATGAAAACACATTCAGAGAACAAGTCTGTGTTTTGAAGAAACTGAGGTCACAAGACTCTTGTTTTCTCACAAGCACTCAGAGCATCCCGCACACGACTCCATCCTTGGACTGTTCTGATAAGGAGGGAGCTGCAGTTGCTAGCTTTTGCACACATGGTCAATCATTTGTAAACACTAGTACCTGTGGCTCGCTGCTCACATTCATACTCAGGCCCAAGGAAGGCTGTGCCATGTCTCTGAACTTCACTCCCAGGCGATAAGAACTTCGTCGTTCTCGTGGGAAAGAGGCATTGGTCCTTGACTTAACCGTGCCCAAGGCAACAATACACATTCACTCAGGGATTCCTCTGCTCCCCACACCTCCCCTTTCTACTTCTTAGATGTTCACGACCGGCCTTCATTTAGTTTGGGGGTGGTTCACTGCAATGTTTGGCACCCTACTGAAGAGAGAGAAACAAAACATGTGGTCTCTGGCTCAGGGTTATTTGAAGTCAAAAACTAGAAAAAACCTGAAAACCACTAAGATCTCCCCCTTCAAATGCACCTCTCTCAGGGCTGCTTTTAAGAACTGGGCCACAGCAAGCTGCCCAGCTTACCAAGGCAGTGGTCTGCATGCTTCAGCCAAGGAGTCCCCACCCAAAAGGGCATTCACTGCCAGGTTACAGCCAAGGGCACCGCTGCTGAGGTCTGGAAGGAGTTGGGCCACAAAACTGGGCACAATTTTTTTCTGGAAGGGTGAATTTCAGCAACAAGGGACCCCCTCCTCCTTGTTGAACATTTTCCCCCCTTACTCTTAAGACAGCTATGTTAATTAGTTGGTAAACTTGCAAAGAGTAATGTAATTGGTTGCCAGTCCCTTCACAACCCAAGGGGCAATGTCTAGAAGTGTCTAGAAGCTGGACTCCCCAGGGATCCAATTTCACGGAACTTGCCTTCCTGTGAGGAAACCACAGGAGTCTAAGGAATCACAAGACTCTACAAGCACAAAGAAAAAATGGGAATGCACTTGGTCCTTTGGTAATAGATCTATTCCTCAATCCTTCTCGCATTTCCTCTCAAGCAGTCAAACTGACTGCCCATCCTTCAGGAAACCAAAGGCAATTATATGTCTTGAGCGTAGTCTAAAATGATGAAGCTACGATGCTTTTACCCTACTTCCGTAGTTCCTTAAAATCTCCATGAACGTACATAAAATTTGAGAGTGCTAGCATCTATCTACCGATCTCTAGATGCTTCTTGTCCCATTTTCACTCTGCTGTTTACAATTGTGCTCCCCTTTCTATTTTTAGTCTTTCCTTTGTCTTTATTTGTGTGCTTCTCCCCTTGCGAGTTTCTGATGGTCCATCCATGTCTGACTCAGGTGCCACCCTCGCAGCCCCCACCGCCAGGTTGGTGCCTTGGCCTGACTAGGGCGGCGAGGAAATGAAGAAAGAACACAAGCAGAGATTCATGTACAGAAGAGCTGGGGTCAGGTGGGCCATCTGCATTTTGATGGAGAACACCAACTGTTGGCAGCAACCTAGAGCCTCATCCTGTTTACTGTGGACAGCAGAGCAGGAAGGAATTAACTACTTTCGGTACAAGGTCTCAGTAGGTGAGCAGGCTCAGAGTGTAAAAGTCTGGGAAGAGGAAGCTGCAGTTGCTGCGTTTTGCACGAACTGCTCAACTATTTGTAAATACTACTACCAGCATGCACTGTTAAAGTTCTCACTCAGACCTGAAGTAGGCGTTGCCATCGCTCTGAGATTCAACTGTACTGGGATAGCTTTGCCATTCCCACGGGAAAGAGGCATTGGTCCTTGACATGGCTGTCCTCATGTCAACAATACTCAGGACATCATCGATTCTTTGCACATTCACTCAGGGTTTCTCATCTCTGAACAAAATATCTCATGTTTTCTCCTCTCTTAAAAAGAATTTAGATGGAAGCTTGTTTAAATGTGTGTGTGCTCAGTTTTAAGAAGTTTGCCTACAATGTGGCTTAGCATAGATTGCTTGGAGTCTATCCTCTTTGGGATTTACCCATCTTTTTGAAACTGTGGATGTAAGTCTTTTTGTTACATTTTGGGAAAATTTAAGCCATCTTTTTTATTTTTCTCACCCACACTGTCTCTCTCTCTCTCTCAGGAATTATCTGATGACAATAATGTTAGATCTTTTGTTATAGTCCCATAGGCTTGTAGGACTCTGTTCTTTTTTTTTCTTCTAGTCTGTTTTCTTTCTGTTGATCACGATGCATAATTCTTAGTGTTCTACCTTCAGGTTCACTGACCATTTCCTCTGTCCTCTTTATTCTGCTACGGAGTCCCTCCAGTAAGACTTATTTGATTTTGGCTATCAGACTTTTCAATTCTAGAACTTTCCATTGTTTTGTGTTTAGGTTTCTATTTGTTTGTTGATATTGTGTATTTCTTATTTCACTCAAGAGTTATTGTTACGGCTTGTTAAGTACTTTTTATAACAGGTGCTTAAACATCCTTGCCAGATATGCGTCACTTTTGTGTCGCCTTTGTCAGTTAACGGGTTGTTTTCCACTAAAGGCAAAATTTTTCTGCCCTTGCTCTGGCAAATGATTTTTTGTTTTATCCTGGATATTTTTGGATATGATAAGTCTCCAGCTCTTATTAAAAGCAGAACACGTTTGACAACTCGCCAGTCAAATCCTATTCCATTACTGCCAAATGGGGATAGAAGTCCATGTGCTTTTCTCAGCTGCCATTATTAGACATCTTGGGGAAGAAAGGTGCCTTGTTATTGCTGAGGGGACGGTGTATGTTTCAACACCACCACTAGGCTTCATCTGGTACTTTTCTGGGAAGGACAGAGGTTCCTTGGTACTGTTTCCTGTGTGACTTCAACTGACGTTACACTAAGTGAGGGTTAAAGCCCTAATGTCTTGCTTGACCTTCATTGATATCACCTTGGTACTTGCCAGAAACCAGGGAGGTGTGATCAGAGGTTACAGTTTGGCAAAGGTGAAAGTCCACGCTTTCTACATGGTCTTCTCTAGCCCTGTAGGGGAGGAGTGGGTCTTATTCCTGCTGAAAGAGGACAAAATTCCTAGCTCACTACTCAAGTTTTCTCTGATCCTGCCTTACCAAGCAAGGCAAGCATTTTAGGGACACTATGACTATGTTACAGCTGAGAGTATAAAAGTCTAGGCTCCTGGTTAGATTTTTGTTCATAAAGGATGCGTGGGGTACATTTTTTTTTCCTGTGGCATTCAGCTGGAGTAACGGGGTCACTGTCGGACTAAGATGGGCCTTTCCTGGTCGTTTAGGGAGAAACTGTGCTTCTCAGAGAGCTTTGTCTGCTGTCATTGGCCTTTTTAGGTTGCTGGCTTCATAGCACCACATTTAAAATATATGACGATTCCATGCCGTTACTCCAGTTCTGAAGTCCCTCCAGCTCTGTTCCATGGGAGGAAAAGAGGAACGTGTCTTGACATACTTATTAATGTTAAATGTATTTCAAAACAACTCAGCCATATATGATATTACTTTATTGAACAGTGATTTAACATATTCAGATGGCCATCCTGCAGACACTAATGATGAATGACATAGAAGAACAGTCTTTGTCTTCAAGTACCTGGTGGTACAATAAGGCGCATACTTGTTCTTTCAGAACTGAATCAAAGGCTTTGTTCATGTTAGGTAAGTGTTCCACCCCCAAACTATTCCTCCATCCAATAATACGTTAAAAACCTGAGCAATATTGGATAATCAGTCAGAGGACTCATCCCTGGGAAAGACTATTCAACCTTGAATCCATATACATACAAACAACTAAAACTCAGTAGGCTACATTTATATATTTCTCTCTCTCTAATATATTTAAAATATACATATATATGTGTGTGTGTGCGCACGCGCATGCATGCGCAAGTGTATGGGAAAACACAGGAGGGGTTTTAAGGAGGGGACATGGGTAGGGAAGAGAAGAAAGAAAAGAGGGAAGTAATATAATTGTATTTTAATAAAAAATATTAAAAACAATAAAATTAAAAAAGAAATAAATTGGGCAATAAAGTCTATACAATGCATGTACATGGCCAGAATAAAGTTTCCTTCCTTGTTCCTTGAGACAGGCTTTCATGTAGTCCTTACACTGGCCTTGAGCTTGCTGTGTTGCTAAGGCTGAGCTTTTAGCTCCTGAACTTTCTGCCTCTACCTCCCAAGTGCTGAAACTGCAGATGTGTGTCACTGTTCCCAGGTAAAATTTCTATTTAAAGATTTTCAAAGAAGTCAGACATTTCAAGTGGAAAAAAAATAGTTAAGTTAAAGGAAAGAAATATAGCCTGCTAGGTCAATACCTGAAGAATAGCACAGTATGACAAAAGACTTAAGGACAAGAGTCATGATGATGATGATGACAGTTATGACCATATTGACAATAAATGGGTATTGTTTGTCCTTTGATGTTATGGCACTCAGTTTCCTTTATTTTTAAAATGCAAGGGGTGGCAAACAGTTTTTAGAATTCTGACAATCAGAGCTAGGGAGTGCCTCGCTATTGTTCCCCATAATTACCTCTGCTTTTATATGGGGAACACAAAGAAATTTTGACAAAGCAGTTGAGCTTGTGGGAGACTTGGGAAGGGTAAAACAAATGTGCCATCTTTCAAAAGAGACTTGGAAAAATTAGGGGTGGAGCCTATAACTTTCCATGAGGCACAAAGCATTATTTTCAACCCACAGCTGCATTGCTAAGCAAATGCCTAATTACTAAAATAAATGTTCTGTCCAACAGAGCCCCAGCCTTTGAAGACGAACTATATTTAAACCTACCATCTACTCTTTTCACCCAGAAGTTCCAAAGCTCTTTTCAACCTGAACTACCCCCGCCCCAGGTTAGTGAGAGTTTACCCCCCCCCCCCCCAAGCTCATACTTGAAGTGAACACAATGTCTGTATTCAGGAACAAGCTCTTTCCTTTTCTCTGCCTAACACCCTTGGGCCTCTGTTGGGCCTGGGCAGCACAAAGTCAGAACCTTGCCCTTTTTAGCTCCATTCTGGACCAAGTGGCCCTCAAAATTCTTTATCCTCCATTATTTTTTCACTTAACTACCCAATTTTGGATCCTTACCCGGGCTCTCAAGCAAATGTCTTTGAAGTCCAGGAGGACCACTCAGAAAAGAACTCAAATGTGGGAGCTGATTCTTCATTCCTTGCTTGACAAAACAAGCTTTTCAACTTCTCCTACTCCAGGAGTGAAAATAGAACAAGAGATATTCAAGAGTCAGACTTTGTAGACTGTAGGCTTTTGCAAATTCCTGCTACTGTGATAAATTAATCAGGGCTTTAAAAGGTCCAAAGCAGGGCAAGTGGGAGATGGAAGGAAAAGGTAAAAGGTGACATGGAGATAAAGGTGGCCTATTCAAGAGCCCCTGTGCCTTCTGAGAAGGTTCACAGTATAGTGAAAGTATAACAAATAGGGTTAACGGCTTCATAAGGCTTAGTTAGAGTCAATGCTAAATGAAGAGAATGTCACCATGGATTAGAGTCTATGTTATTATTTATATGTTGCCACTTCTGTTTTATCTCTCTACCTCGTCAAGTTCCCAGTACTCTGAAGAGTCGAAATGCAATGACAAAGTGTTTGGCCTATTAGCTCAAGGTTTATTACTAACTAGCTCTTACAACTTAAATTAACCCATTTCTATAAGTCTGTGTGCTGCCACATGGCCTCATATTTTGCTTCTCCAGCAACTGCTGGCATCCCCCTGACTCTGCCCTCTTTATCTTTTCTTTTTTAGGGGTTGTATGCAGCTCCTCCATTCTTTCTTTCTTTTTTAAAATTGATTTTTATTGAGCTCCTACATTTTTCTCTGGTCCCCTCTCTCCTTCTCCCCTCCACTTCAACCCTCTCCCAAGGTCCCCATGATCCCAATTTATGCAGGAGATCTTGTATTTTTCTACTTCCCATGTAGGTTAGATTCATGTATGTCTCTCTTAGAGTCCTCACTATTGTCTAGGTTCTCTGGGATTGTGATTTGTAGGCTGGTTTTCTTTGCTTTATGTTTAAAAACCACTTATCAGTGAGTACATATGATAATTGTCTTTCTGGGTCTGGGTTACCTCACTCAATATTATGTTTTCTAGCTCCATACATTTGCCTGCAAATTTCAAGATGTCATTATTATTTTTTTCTGCTGTGTAGTACTCCATTGTGCAAATGTACCACATTTTCCTTATCCATTCTTTGGTCGAGGGGCACTTAGGTTGTTTCCAGGTTCTGGCTATGACAAACAATGCTGCTATGGACATAGTTGAGCACATGTCCTTGCGGCATGGTTGAGCATTCTTTGCATATATACCCAAAAGCAGTATTGATGGATCTTGAGGAAGATTGCTTCATAATTTTCTGAGAAATCACCACACTGATATCCAAAGGGGCTGTACCAGCTTGCACTCTCACCAACCAAGTAGGAATGTTTCCTTTACCTCACAACCTCTCCAACATAAGTTGTCATCAGTGTTTTTGATCTTGGCCATTCTTACATGTGTAAAATGGAATCTCAGAGTTTTTTTTTTTTGCATTTTTCTGATGGCTAAAGATGTTGATCATTTCCTTAAGTGTCTTTCAGCCATTTTAGATTCTTCTGTTAAGAATTCTCTGTTTAAGACAATAAAAATGGACAAATTCCCAAAATTCATAAATCCCACACAGCAAACAACCAATGTGAAAAGATACTGACAGTCATAGGCCTGCAGGGCTAGTGGAAATTTGAAGGGAATTTAGAAATTACTCAGCTATTCAATCACTCCTCATTAATCCATCCACCAGTTAATCAAACAAATGTTTGGTAACTGCTTTGTGCTTAGTATTGCATAAGCTAATCATAATGTATCCTGCGGTAGACATACATCATAATAGCATTCTAGGAATATGCCACCAAGGAGATGCACACTTAGAGCTATATTGCACAATAAAATGGAATTTAGCTCAGTTATGTAGACACTAGAACTTTCCTTTTCTCTTAAAATATGTGTTCTCTGAAAAGTTTGTATATGCACACAACCAAACATGGTGTGTACAACCCCCAGGCTCCTATCATTCACCGATTTCTCAAAACGTATTCCCTTTCTACTTCGTGTTTTCTTTATTGTTAAATAAACCTGCTATGTCCAATTCGTGCTGCAAAAAAAAAAAAAAAAAAAAAGAATTCTCTGTTTAGGTCTGTACTCCATTTTCCCATTCTGTAGGTTGCCATTTTTCTATTTCTTCAGCAGTTATAGGTCTGTTTAATTTGCTTATCTGGTCTTGATTTAATTTTGGCAAGTGATATTTATCCAGAAAGTTGTCCATTTCCTTTAAGTTTTTCAATTTTGTGTAGTACAGGTTTTCGAAATATGACCTGTTGATTCTCTGTATTTCCTCAGTGTCTGTTGTTATGTCCTCTATTCATTTCTGATTTTGTTAATTTGGATATTCTCTCTCTGCTATTTGGTTAGTTTGGATAAAAGTTTGCCTATTTTGTTGAATTTCTCAAAGAACACACTCTTTGTTTCATTGATTCTTTGTATTGTTTTCTTTTTTATTTTGTTGATTTCAGCTCTCAATTTGATTGTTTCCTGCCATCTAGTTCTCTTAGGTGAGTTTGCTTCTTTTTGTTCTAAAGTTTTCAAATGTTCTGTTAATTCACTAGTGTGGAATTTCCTAGATTATTTATGTAGGCACTTAGTGCTATGAACTTTCCTCTTAACACTGCTTTCATTGTGTCCCATAAATTTCAGTATGTTGTGTGGTCATTTTCATTGAATTTTAGGAAGTCTTTAATTTCTCCCTTTATTTATTCCTTGACCATGATTCAGGTGAGCGTTGTTTAATTTCCATGTATTTGTAGGCTTTCTGGAATTAGTATTGCTGTTGAATTCTAGTTTTAAGCCATGGTGATCTGACAAGATACATGGGATTATTCCAATTTTTTTTGTATCTGTTGAGGTTTGTTTTGTTACCAAGTATGTGGTCAATTTTTGAGAAGGTTCCATGAGCTGCTAAGAAGGTATATTCTTTTCTGTTTGATGGAATATTCTGTAGATGTCTGTTAAGTCCATTTGAGTCATAACATCTGTTAGTTCCCTTATTTCTCTGTTCATTTTTTGTCTGACTGACCTGTCCAGTGATGAGAGTGGAGTGTTGAAGTCTCCCACTATTAGTGTGTGGGGTTTAATGTATGATTTAAGCTTTAGAAGTGTTTCTTTTACATATGAAAGTGTCCTTGGGCCGGGCGATGGTGGCGCACGCCTTTAATCCCAGCACTCGGGAGGCAGAGGCAGGTGGATCTCTGTGAGTTCGAGACCAACCTGGTCTACAGAGCTAGTTCCAGGACAGGCTCCAAAGCCACAGAGAAACCCTGTCTTGAAAAACCAAAAAAAAAAAAAAAAAGAAAGTGTCCTTGTATTTGGGACATAGGCATTCAGTATTGAGATTTCCTCTTGATGGATTTTTCCTGTGACTAATATGGAATGTCCTTCTTTGTCTCTTTTGATTGATTTTAGTTTGAAGTCTATTTTGTTAGATATTAGGACAACTATACTAGCTTGTTTCTTAGGTCCATTTGACTGGAAAATTTTTTTTATCAACCCTTTACTCTGAGATGATGTCTGTCTTTGAGGTTGAGGTGTGTTTCTTGAGTTTTTTTTTTTTTTGATTTTTATTGAGCTCTACATTTTCTCTGCTCCCCTCCCTGACTCTCCCCTCCCCTTCAACCCTCCCCCAAGGTCCCCAGGCTCCCAATTTATGCAGGAAATCTTGTCTTTTTCTACATCCCATGTAGATTAGAATGAGGACACTAAGAGGTGTGTTTCTTGTATGGAGCAGAAGGATGGATTCTGTTTTCATATCCAATCTGTTAGCCTCTGTGTTTTTTTTTTTGAGGTAGAAATATGATAGGATTTTTATTGTTATTTTGCTGTTGTTTATTTTCCCATTTCATAAAGAAGCTAAGTAAGAAGGTGAACCCAAGGAAAAACATATAGTTATCCTCTTGGCTAAGGGAAGTAGACCAAATTTCCGGGGAGAAAATGGGATCTTGGGGGTGGGGTGGGATGGGGGTAAGGGGAGATGGGGAGAGAAAAGGTAGAAGGGAAGGAGGGGGGACCTGGGGAAACAGGAGAATTGGGATAAAGGAAAGGTGGATAGGGGAGCACGGAACCACAATTCTTAGTTAAGGGAGCCACTTTAGGGTGGGCAAGAGACTTGACCCTAGAGGGGCTCCCTAGTGCCCAAGATGAGGTTCCCAGTTAGTTCCTTGGGCAGCTGAGGATTGGGAACCTGAAATGACCCTATCCTAGAGCAATACTGACGAATATCTTGCATATCATCAAAGAATCTTCATCTGGTGATGGATAGAGATAGAGACAGAGACCCACACAGGAGCACTG